TTTATATCAATACCATCTAAATTTGATGTTTTTTTTGTTGTTGAATTGTATGTTAAACGCATATTATCAATAAAACAATCGATAACTTCAGGTAATAAAAGACGAATATTAAACCATAATTCAAACCAATCTGCATGACGAGCACACAAAAAATGTGGCGGAGGAGTTGTACGATTTAATCGTGCCCATATTTGTGATCCACCATTACCAGGAATAAATATAGCTGGATAATGAATATTATTACCATTGATATTATTATTAATACAAATGAAAGATAGAAGAAGAAGATACCAACGACATATATACATGAAAAAATCTAAAAAACAAAAAAGTTTTTGATATAGCAGTGTAGTATTGTTTTTTATTTTTTATTATGTAATACAATGATTTTATTTTGAGAGTAAAGGGCATTTTCTTGTTAATATGAAATATTGGACTAACCAATCAGTAAGATAGAATTTCAAAGATCAGATGATTTCTAACGAATGAAGTGTTAACTATGATCCTCGGTTATAGTCGGATTATTTCTAAGTGAATGTGGCATTCTAAATTGCTTGTTTTATATTCATAGATCACTTTGAATATATCTATATTATCAATTTCATCATTGAGGATATTCTATTGATCAGCGGCATCTGACGAGACTTTGTCAGATTCCGTTTAGACTTATAGCATTTGATCACTTGATAGATGCCATTATCAACCCAATATGAGCTCGAATAGCGGGTATTAATTCGAGTAATTCCCTTATAAGTGGTTTGGAAACAAATTCTAACATATCCATCCAAGTTATCACAAATAGATATGAAACATCACGTTAATCCTTTTTTGGTTTTAATTTGAATGAAAGTTTAACATGCAATTATTCGATTATAATGTAAAAAAAACAAATTTTGCGTTCTTCTTGAAACAAATCAGACGTTTGAGTATCGAATGATGAAAACGTGCGTCATTTCTCTTTTTATTTTTGTCATCAACAACGAAGCAAACAATCTTTATTTTTTTTAACATCATTCAATGTCTCAGCCATGTGCTATCGATGGATGCAAACGTACATCGCGTGCATTATGTCATTGTTGTCAACAGGATCTTTGTATATTTCATTTAAATGAACATAATGATTTATTGAATTCTCAATTAAATCCTCTTGTCGATGAGATTAATACACTCGGAGATCGGTTGAAGACACTTAATATTCAAGAAAAAACGAGAA